TGACACACTTGGCATTTTCTAGTACACAAGAAATGCCCCCACAACCCCGTGTTTATGTCAACAGGGAAGGAGCTGTGTTCCCTTTTTTATTCACAGATGAATATCTGAAGCCACTAGAATAACCCACAGCACATAGTAGGTATGTAGTTGATCATGAATGAACAGTTGGTTATACAACTCCCTTGGGTGCAAATTGCCTGGAGATGGGCAGCCCAAGGCTTGAGAACCCAGGCTGCAGAGTACACAGTTTGGGGTCCAAAGTAAAGCATATGCTACCCCAATGAGCTGTGACCTTGTGTAACTTATTCTTCCTGAGCCTCTGTTTCCTTGGTAATAGAGTAGGCTAGTAGCATTTGCCTTGAGGGATGGTGTGAGGATTAATGGAGACACTCATGTAAAGTTCTCGGCATAGAGTGAGCATCCCGTAAATGCTAGCTTCTCATCCAAGGATGCTCTTGAGTGTTCTTGCCTCTCATTCCCTCTGACCACTTTGCTGCTCAACAGAAGTGCTTAAGAGGGCAGAGCTGCTCAGGGTGGGGGACAATGGGATTGTCTATCCAGTTAACTAGCCCTAGCCACCCTTCTTCTTTCTCTTCCCAGGATGTGCTTGTTGCCAAGGAGACACAACATCAGCCTTTGGCAGGCTTCTGACTCCTTGTGGCTTGGCCACTGGCTTTGCAAAAGGAATGAGACACTGGTGACCATGGGCAAGGAGGTAAGGTGAGGGACTTGACCATCCTGGGCTGGGAGTCTGGTGGGGTCTGGAATCTCTGGTACCCTGAGATATTGAAGTGTTCCTTCTCTGTCTCCACATTGCTCTTGGAGGCTGTGGTGGAGTTCTTGCTTGGTCCGGCAGCATTGATTGGGATGTGATTCCCAAGCCCTGGGAGGGGGCCATAGCAGCCAGAGTGACTCATAATCAGACTCCTGGCCCTCGGAATGGCACCTTCCCAGAGTAGGGCCAGCAACTGTGGCGATGGAGTTGGCCTGGTGTGGGATTCTCCACGTTGCACTGGACAAAGTGGCCAGGCTGGCCTGACCAGGATGCTGTCCACATGGGTGTAGCCTGCTCTTCCTTTAGGCTCTGGTGTGGCTTCTTCAGATCTCAGCTCTCTGGGGACTGTTCCTCCCTTCCCACCTGGCCCTTGACTCTGGGTAACATAAGAGACCGTGGCTTTTGCACACACCAGTAGGCTACCTGGACGAAGTGGGTGGGCACGGCAGGTAAGCATGTAGGTAGGAAAGCCATGCTGTCTGGGACGCCATCCTACCTTTGCTTGCCCCAGCTGTGTGATCCTAAGGAACCACTTAACTTATCCGAGTAACGAGGATAATTATAGCACTTTCCTCTAGGGATTGCTGCAAGGATTAAGCGAGTTGGTGCTTGTGAAGAGTTTCTATCCGACCCAGACAGGCTGAGCTCACTCACGGAAAGCTATTATCGTCATTCTGAGGGGGAACATTCCTGGAGGAGGCTGCATCAGACAGAATAAAAGTGCTATTATTATTGTAGTTATTATTTTGGGAGGTTCCCTTGAAAAAGAAAAATAGGGCCTGGCTTAGCTGGAGTGGATCATGAGTTATTCACTTTCTCTGAAGGTCTTTTCTATTTTTTAATTTTTACAACTTTGATCATAACCTAAAAATGATGTCAGGAATCTAAGTGGGCCTATGGGACAGAAGAGAGATGTGTGTATGTGTGTGTGTGTGAGTGTGTGTGCATGCTCATGAGTGCACGAAGGTGTGTGTGTGTGTGCATGTGCGTGTGTGCTCGGAAGTGGGCAATCAGGGTTCAGATGCCACGAATTTCAGAAAGAGGAAGCAGAAGAGAAGATGGGGGTGGGAACACTGGCCTGGCCAACCTGCCTGAAGCTTTGCACCCACACATCTGTGGCTGATAATACTCAGACAGAGAAGGTCTGGAGCTGGAGGCACCTGGATTCTTGCTAAGTGGTGGGCCCTGGGCTTGGGGGCAGTTGAAATTAAGTTGCTTCAGAGTCTGCCTGTTCTCTGTAGAGTTTGGTCTTGTATTTTTCCTCCACTATAAGCATCTTGGGTGTAGGAGATTTGACCTTCTCACTGGAGGGAGCTTGCCACCTCTCTCATGAGAACACCCATGAGGTTCTCAATAAACACTTGTTGAATGAACTTGTGGGTGAATGAATGTGTGGCGTTTTCCTCTTGGTGCAGTAACCCGTGAATCTAGCTAGACTTTTAGGAAAGCCCCTGATGGTCTCCCTCCCACCCTATACTTGGCTTTTCCATCTGGCTGGAGGGAAGGTAGTCGGGGGGGGGGGATCAACCATCTTCCCT